AATCGTTGCAGTAATGGAAATCTTATCTATATAAAAGAATTAATAAATACTGGAATATATTGTCATAGACAGGTGAGGGTATATTCAGCTTGACTAAGGGTTCTGAGGTACAAATAGCTCAGCCAATCAAAAACTGTATTTCTCCCATTCTCCATCCCATGCCTTGCTTGGAAGTGCTGCTCCTCTATCAATGAGGAGCAAAATCAGATCTGCATGCAGGCTGAACTTACTGCTGTTCAAATTCCATCATCAGTATATCTGCTTTCATTAACTAATATGTGGGATTATGCAATGTGGTGCCTAAAATCCCAACACATATCTTTTCTGTTTAATTCTGGAGGGTCTGAGGACACAGGTCTGAGCAGCAGTGTGTCATATCTGTATAGCTCTTAAGAACATCAAAAAATGTCAACAGACTATCACGAGTGGGCTAGGTAAATCTGCACAGGAAAAGAGGAGAGGCTGTGTGTCTTCTGGGAGTCTCATCTTACATTTTTATAGTTCCATGAATAAGTAATTTGATTTAAGAAACACTGTGCTAATTGGGGGCTTGCAAGATTTGACTCTTACTCTGTGGAGATTTTACTTGCCACAGTGTAAGAATTGCAAAGATATTAGCAGAGATAGTTTTCATCATATTTACAGACTCTGTGTAATCATTTTGTGTAGATAAGAAGCGTAAGGATGTTCTAACGGAAATTAATCACTTACATGCTTCCGTGCTATTGAAGGTTTCACATGTGGTGCAACATTGATTTTTCCTGTTTCAGTTATCATTTATTATTATACATTTACTACTTCAGTATCCACCTTCTAATCACAACTTTCATCTATGCAGACATCATCTGGGATAAATAGATATTATTCTGTATTCCCAGAAAGCCTTTTGGAGCTGTCTCATTTTGAAAGAGAAACAAGTATATTTTTAACGTACATGTGTTCAGCATTACTCTTTTTAATCATAGATTCTTTAGGCTAATAAAAAGTAGCAAAGAGAATACAAACAACCCAGAGAAAAAACAGAACCCTTCTGAAATCACCAACTGGGAGTTATCCAGACTGAATTGAACCTTGCATAATGTTGGGGCTGGATTTTGGAAAAGCAGCATGGAAATGATTCTCCATATTTTTTCAGACATGTTTTATCACTTCATGGTACTTTTTTTTTTTTTTTTTTTTTTTTAAAAAAAAAAAAAGAGCTATATTTAAACGTGAGATCTGGAACCTTAATTATTCTTCATGTTTTCCAAATGTACAAGGTACTGCCATAGCATAAATGAAAGATATTCTACTTCTTGAGCTTTTCCTTTCATTTCAATAACCTTTCTCTATTTCAGATCTCCTTGATCTACTGCCCATACCAGCTTGGAAAATTTCTCTTTGCTGGTTATTGTTTCTTAGTGAACCTGTAGCATATGAAAAGAATGTAGAGTGCAGCCAGCCTACAATTACTTATGTTTGTAAACAGTGTTGAAGAAACAATATTTAATGTTGCTAGAAAAGCAGAAAATCCTAATAGTTTCCAAAATAAGAGAGTATTGAGTTTGTCTAGTAAAATTTTTTCATGATTCACATATGAACAGCAACTAAAATTTTGGAAAGGTATGGTATGCTCTTCTGTGTTTGAGGTATTGAAACCAAGTATGACAAATGCCTGACAACTGTGAAGGAAGGAAATGCACTGGGAACAGGAGATTGGGAACTGTGGTTTTCAACTTCAGAGGAATCATCTAAGTTCTTAATGGCAGCTCCTCAGATAAAAAGAAAACAGCATTCTCTGAAGGGTGGCCAGCTGTTTAGGACTCAATAATCAGGCTTTTATTTGGCCTGCCTTCTGGAGTTGCTTCTATCATAGATAGTGATGCTGGCAAGCAAAGTAGTTTTTATATCATAGGATGCATTCTTGTAATAATTGCTAAAAAAGCCCAACATAATTTTGGTTTGTAAAATGTCTGTTGGACATATATCTGTCTGGAATAGGCACTAGTGCATTTGTCAAGGATGAAAAAAATTTAGATTTACATGTGGCTTACACTTCATTATTTTTAGAACTGTCACCATGTTACTTGGTTATTTTCTTTAAATATGCAGATATGTTTGAGTTAAAATAATTGAGGAATTCATCTAACACCCAAAGGGCCAACAGAGATGGACAGAGCCTTTTTATTTCTTCATGTTTCCTTCTCTGTTTACTCCAGAATAATGTGAATGGAACCGATTCCCACTCCCTAGACAGAGGAACCTGTACTGTAGAAAGGCCACATGGAGAGCATGAGTAGAGCACATTATGGCCTTTAATTGGTCTATAGGGTAGGACAGGAACCAAAACTGCAGTCATTAGTTGCAAGTCAAATTCCTTCTGATTTTTCTGGAAAAGTGACTTGAACATGGATAGCAGAATTTATCCCTATTACTCAACATCATTCTTTTTGAGGCTTGTACTCTCTTTCTGATTTAATGTCTATACTTTTGAAATACATCTCTTTTGTTTTTCTTGTTCAGCAAGTTTTCACAATTGCTTCCATGTTCAGAAAATATGTTTTATATTGCCAAAAGACCTCCCTTTCTTCTAATGAGAATGGGTTTCCTTTCCTAAATATTCCCCTGTTCATAGAGACATCATGGAGACCTAGACTATTTCAGGATGGTTTTCTAGGGATACTTTACTGTCCATCCACATATTAAATTTAATCTATTTAAGAAATCTCCAAATGCCTGTGTTATCAGCTAAAGCAGAGAAACACATCCTATGCTCCAGTCCTTTAAAGTCTCTTTCTTTGAGGCAAAGTTTAACACAGATAACAAAGGACATATCAACATTTGAATAAACTTTAAATCTTGGTCTAGGGCTTGCACTTTAGCCTTCAAAGTTAGCAGCACACCATTATGTGTGTTTGTCTGGCTAGACTTTCTTCCCCAACAAGCTGACATGGATTTGCTTGGTGTGTAATGGAAAAAGTCCCTGGTCTGTGGGATCCCACAGTTGTGTTCAGGAATTGTCTGAGGAAGTGCTACTTGGATCAGGTTTAAACTGTGCCAGAAAAAAAGGCAATCGATTCAATATACACAGGCAACTGTACATATTTTCTTAAGCCTGTGTCCTGGTCCTGGTTGGTGGTCAGCATTTGAGGAAGTCTTAGGTCACGGTCCCCAGCAGAGTTCCCAGACTGTTGAAGGAACAATGGTGCAGCCTTTCCCCAAAAATCCTTGCCTCTTCTACTCTGAGCTCATTACATGGATTTATGATAGGCAGAAATCCCTTAAGCATTTCCAAGTTGCTCTGCTTTCTTACTTCAAATACAGTCTAGCATTTTGATACAAACCAAGAAATTCTCTTGCTATTTTGCCACAAATGAACTCTGAAAATAAATCCTCCCTTAACATAAACTTTAATATAAGTTAAATTTTCAACATCCTTCCAATTCTTCAACAATACATGTTGTCCCTATTCAGTACAGAATAAATGTGATAAAAAGATACTGGTTTAGTTACTAAATTCAGCCATCTTAATTCACTCTCTGACTCATACTCCTGCCATCTTCTCTGATTTTCATTGTAATTTTTCAAGTTACATGTAATTCTGTCCTTTGACATTTTTTCTTACTTGTCAAGTATTTGTCCCACCTTTTCTTACATTTTTGAATACCATTTTCTACTAATGTTTAAGGACCCACATTTTCCACTTTTGCACAGCTGGTTTTATGTCTTGTGTAAATACTTCTAGCCTCTGTTTTGAGAAATTTCCTTCACTTGTAAGTACTCTTTGCCTAAGAGCACCTCAGAATGGGTGCTTCACCTTCCCAAATCTGGGGAAACCACATGCCACAGGCAGTGACAGGCATAGCACTGCTGGAGGCAATGGAGGACAGAGCTGTCCTTTGTATGCCACGCAACAGTCCTTGCTTTACGCAGGAGCTAAACTCTATAGATTGCTTCTCAGTGTAGCTTTTGCACTTCTACACTATGCAGTAGTGCCCTCTAACAAACCCCAGAACACAGGGGCACTACATTGTGTCCCACCTGGGCAGAGTCCTGTCAGCAGAAAGACCAAATTGCTCTCACCTCCATTTCTCTGGAGCCCCAAGAGGAAGGGATGGATTTCTGAGAATCGGGTTACATGAATTTAAAAATCTGAATGCCAACGTACTTTCACATGTTATGACTTGAATGTTTGGTTTTACAATATATTTGTTTCTCTCCGAAGTCTTATGCTAACTAGATGTGCTGTAATAAATAATTTAGGATATTTTTCTGTGTTTCATTTTCTTTCTCCAGCATTGTACGGTCTGTTCAGATGAAGCAATGATTTTAAAAACTTTTAAATTAAACCACATAGGTCATCCATATTTCTTGTGTCTCCAAGGTTATTTTCATTTTTTAATAAGCAGATTTAAGTTTCTTACTTTTTTATTAAAAAAAAATATATATATTATTGCAAAGTTTTGATTTCATATATCTTTTTAGAACTATAATAAATGCTGCATACTACATGTTACTGCTACTGATGAATTTAGGCTATCTAGTACCAGACACTTGTTTTTGTGTTTTATCTCCTCATAATAAGATCCAGCATTCTGGTTTTCCTCTTAAATCGCACTGAATTTTTTAACAGAATTTTTGATCTTTTCTTTCCATGTCCATTGCTTCAGACTTATGCTTCCAAGGTAGAAATCCTTCAAAGTTGTAATGAAGAATTCATACCCTTTTGCTATTCAATCAGTTTTGAGTTCTGATGGTCTCAGATACACTAAAAAGTTATATGACCTTTAGCAGTTCTACCAGCCAGCATGATTAATAGATCATCCCTTGTTCTCAGACATGTTAGGTTTACTTTAACCTTCCATCACTGAGAAATCAGATTTCTGTTTTATTTTTTATTCTCTTTATTCACTTTCAGTGAAAAACAGAATCATAGTCTTGTCCTTTCTCATACTTAACAAGCAAACAATGAACAATATTTATCACTCAGCAGAGTCAAAAGAATTTCAATAGATTCTTACCTGTAATTCTGCTTTTCATTTCCTATGTGAAATCTGTCATACTGTGAATATGCCCGGTTTCCTTCCCAGTCCATTAATTCAATTCTCAGAGAATATTGCCTCTGACTTGTTATTGCAAAGATAAATTCATTTCCCAGCCAATGTTCACCTGATGGGCTACCAAAACCCTAGAAAAAAGTTGGCAAAATAACTAGATGTAATTATTGTAATCGGTAGAAACTTTATACAATAATAAAACCATCATTATATTTTGCCTATATTTTTAATTACTGATCATATTTTTCTGTGCTCCAGTGTGACTGTCTATAAAATGAGTCTACTAATACGTACCATGTAGAGTGCTACGCAGTTCAACTGATATTTGAAAGGACAGTTGAGATTATCAGTTGAAAAACACTTTCCAGTTACAACATACTAATAATATGATGCTTTATTTGCACATGTCTCAATGGGAATACTGGACACAGAAATATTCTATAATAACATAATCATCATTAAAACAGTTAAGTCAAAAATGGAACTCTGCTATACACTATAAAAGGCTAAGAAGAGTTTAAATTAGCCTAGATTAAATTAGCTATGGATGATACCTCATGTCTTAATCTCTAAAGAAGAATGGACTGTTCCTTTACTGTCAAGTGTCTGTCACAACTGAAGGAGGGAGGTTTTTAGTTTAAAATCTTTTTCTGTGTATGAGCTGCTGGACAGGACTCTGTCTGTGAGCGATCCTCTGTTATAACATTTACTTCATTCTTGGTCCACTAAAGCTCTTATTAGCTAAGATTTTGGCTACTAAAATGTTATTATTTTCTTACCCTGCTGAGGTGAAATAAGATATCTATATATGTTTTGATGCTTTGAAATCTTTAACTTCAAGAGTTAGGAGTATTCCTATAGGCTATCCAAAGCACAGGAGAGGGTACACTAACTTTATTTTCTAAGAATGAAAAATAAACAGCAGTAGAATATTTAAGGTACCTAACTCTCCTCACATTTCATATATTCAGATGATCTTATTTCCAGTTAAACAAACTATACTATTTTCAAACATGGAAAAATAATAATAAAACAAAAAAGTATAACCAGTTTTCAAAATATATGCCTAGACCTATATTTTTGTGTATCTTCCATGTTTTAAAGTTGTCTAAATTTTAGTGAATATTTTACTACATTAAATTTAAGGTTTTATTTAATATAATGAATGTACTTTATTATATATTAAAATTATTTTTCTTTATAAACTATTAGTTCTTACCTAAAACCTCTTAGTTCCTTTTTAGTTCTCTTTAAACAATAAAAAGTATTTTAAACTGTAATCCTTACTTGTGAAGAACTATTTCAACATGACTATGCTTATTTGTATTTCTTAAAATAGAAAAAAATGGGAACTGGAAATCTCCTGATTTACTCACAGTGATGTGCTGGGAGTGTTTTAGAAGACCCCTGTGAAAATCCTGATCCAATTAAATGAAAGTTTGGATAATTTTCCTGCCTGTGATACAAATTCACCCTCTGTTACTAAGCTATGACTGCCAGATCCAGGAAAGAAATAAAAAAATAAAGCAATCCTGGTTTTGGGATAGATTAGACTGTATCCAGTCTCAAATATATCCTTTATTATTCATTATAGGATGTTAACTTTACCTCTTCACTCCCCATCATGGTATTTAACAGACAACATTTGCTCTCAGTTTCAGATCATGAATTAAACCATGTGATATGCCATTGATTGAGTCCATGTAATTTTCAGGAATAAGTCTGAACATTTTCAGGAAGCATATATTTTTTGAAGGGAGGTAAAAGTTAAGAGACTTCCTTGGGACTAGAAGCTACATAATGGGAAATGTGTCTGTGAGACACATTGGCAAGAAATTGATTCTCTCTCTATGACATTTCAGTTGCTCCTAATGTGAGATGGAAACACAGAAAGCACAGCCCCATCTCTCTTCTGTCCTTTATTGCATTGCCCTGGCTCTAGCCCTGACTAGTTGGGTCTACTGAGGATGAAATCCTGCCTTCCCAGAGGCCATGCAGCAGTTGAATGAAGCTGCAGCACAGCTAATGCTTCACTCAGGCAATGCATAAGTATACCACATGCAAACTTCTAAAGAAAATATATTTTAAAAATTGAGAAGCTTGAAAGTTTATGGTTGGATAAAAAAAAAAAAATAAAATGGAGAAGTTTTTTGTTATTCCTACAGGGAATTACATTAGAAAGCACTCTACTGATAAGTAATTTTTGTTTTAACTAGCCTACCTAAGCAGATACTCACTGCTCAATGATAGTAGAGGTTGAGAAGACATGCCACGTTTGGCTACACTGAGTTGAGTGCATTAGTTTATATTTCAGATAAGGATGTCTGCCTTTTGGCTTGTAGACCATCAAGTGATACCCATGGACAAAGTGTTTAGTCTGCAAGAATTGAAATTCAGTAGTCTGTGGTAAGTCTCATAGAAGACAAACTGAAATACGTGAGGAAACTATTAGTTGGCTTTTCCTTTCCTGCACTTTATTTTATCATATTCTCTTTCTCAAGTAGATTATTTCCCACATAAATGCCTGTAAATACTGGTTGCAGCTAATACTAGTGATATCTTGCTTTGATGACATCAGTCTTCCAGTGTGAGCCTTTTCTCCTCAAGCTTTCCCATGATGATGCTTCTGTATTTGTCACATACTGCTTTGATCACATATTTGCCTTCATACGTATTTCCTACACACAAAAGCTTGTAGGCTTTCTTACCTACATAAACCCTGTTTACAGCTGACATACCCTTCTGTAAGTTTCAGGTTTTTAGCTGTCTCTGATCCTTTCCATCTCCTTACCTTGTCTTTTGGCCCTATGACTGCCACACATGGTCTCCCCTGTTAGAGCAACTTGGGCAGTGTCACACCAGAGCAGTCAGTGGTTTGTCTCTGACATGCTTTTTCACCGCTGGCAATTGCCACTTGTCTCAGAGGAAAGGAATATATGCTCTGCAGTGACCACCTAACAGGCAGTTTGTCTTTCTAAAATCCAGAAGGCAGAAGTTGGAGCATAGGTATTTATATACCAGCCAAAGTATGTTTCTTTGTAGTCTACGTTTCTTACTCACAGAAGATATATTTTTCTTATCGGCTGTCTCCCTTTAAAAGATGATTTTCAGGAAATCCTTTCTCCCTTTTTCCCAGTGCTGGCAAGTTGAGGGGACTCCCCTTTGAACTGTGGCTTTATTGAATTATATTTGTCTTATCTTATTTAGATTACAGCCTATTCAGGATGTAATACATGTGGCTTTTTTAACATTATGTGTTCCCATATGTGTTCTATATAAACTCCAGGCACCATATATAATTATTCTGAAATAATAATAATTTTTCTTCTTCGCATTTACACTTCCTTCTCCCTTTTCACACATGTTATTACACTAAGATGAAAATCTATCACTAAGTGGTTTGCTCTCCTGACCAGAGGAAATGAAGTTGCAGCAAAAGGGAACAGAAGGAATATAAAAAGGAATATAAAAATTATGAGGAAAGCCACCACATTAGTTACAAAAAATGAATCCTATTGTAAGGAGCTACAGTACTGAAACTCAGACTAGAAATGCCTAGACTAAGAATGATTTTTTTTTTTTCTTGTCAGGAGCAACTTCTTTTTAAACAAAATCCTTGCTCTTATGAAAAGAAAACCAAGAATGTAAGTGAAATGTAAAACATATCTCTGAAGTAAGGAATGTTCCTAAGAAGAAGTAGTATGTTTTATTAAACACCTAATATGGCTGGAAAAAAGAAATAAACAAACAAATAAGCACTAAATGCTTTCATAGATCTAAAACAAGCAGTACATTTATGCTAAGCACAGAGTTGGAAACAATATCTTCAAGTATAATTTTATTATGCTAAACTCAACTGTTTCCAACCTGTATTCAGTCTGCAGTTTATTGCCTCTATTACAGACCTGAAGAAAGACTTGAATGTTTGCTAGCTTTTTCAGATACTTTGGCTGACTTAATAACTACAAGCTTTCCATGTTTATATCTTACTTAGACTGTCACTGCTACAAGAACACTACTACCTTGACAAGATATGTAAGCTTTTGTGTGCAGAAAAGAATGATATATTAGCCAAAAATTCTGAAAAACATTATTTAGCTTTTCATCTCCATTCCCAACCCCGAGTCTGGCAAAGCAAATTATTGTGCTGGTTTCTTTTGATTTGCCTTCAAGATCATCAGCCTTCAAAGCACATTTCAGAATTTTATCTTCAAATACAAATTCTTGGTTTTTTTCTTCAGCCAGAAATCTTGAAAAAACAAGCTTGTGCAATTGTTATTCCCACCTGTCTTTTATTTTTGTGCAATACTTTTTGAACACTTTTGAGATTGGGATAGAAATCACACAAACTTGAGGTTCAACAAGGTTTCAGAACTGGTATCTGGGATGAGTTGCTGCTGGGATAAATGCTGAAGCAGATGCTCAGCAGTTGCCTATTCCAACTGCCTATCATCAGGTGGAGACCAGCCAGCCAAGCCTCGGAGGACCCTTAGACATATGGGAGAGGTCTGAGGGACATAAATGAGGATCACCAGCTATTGCCACAGAGAATCTCAGAAAATAATAAAGATTCAGGACATTATTAGTAACAAGAATAGGACTTCTAGGCAGGACATGGGGCAAAAATCCACAGAAAAGCAGACCTCATTAATTTTTCTGTTCATGAGACAAATCAGTAATGAAAATTGAGTAATGAAATCGAAGCATTTTAGTTAGTGGAACATTTATGTTTATACTACTGCTCAAATCTGTGTGGTCACAAGTGATAAGATGCCTTCAATCTTGCCTAAGACCATGATCATATATGGACAAGAAGTTTGGTTTTGAGAATGTCTTAGGGCATTCTCAACATAAGAGTTAAATCTTAAAAGTTAACATTAGTAGTCACCTATTCCACACCCACAGCTGTCATTCAATGTGTTTGTTTCCCAGCACATATATACTCTGTCAACATAATAATTGTTTTTTTGTTTGCATATTGCTATAGCAAATACTTCCAAAATTATTTGTGTTAAAGTTTTGTACTTAAACTCCAGGAAGTACATGAGGTGATCCAAGTCATCCTCAGCTATCAATCTACTAAGAAAAGGAACATCTGTATTTCATGAATGTGTTTGTAATTAACTAGATT